CCGCTGAAATGTGAAAGGGTTAAAGAATAATTAAAACCTGAAACTGGACAAAGGAAGTCTATACTTTAGGCCTAGTTTCTGGAACCCCTAACCACATTCTGTTAATCATGAAACTTGGAACAATGAGCTCATACGCTAACTGCCAATTTTAGCCTGTGTAACCCTGCTTGCTTGCGTGGCATGAAAAATGATCAATTGTATATAAGCTGAAAATTATGGCTTGAAAAGTGCTGCTTGGCTATCACCCATGGGAACATAAGCTATTGCCCATGGGAACATAGGCTATCACCTATGGGAACATAACATTCTAACAATAAACTTTCTGCTTCTGTACTTCCGCTTGCACAACCGACCTGTGGGTTGACAGGTAGTGAATAGGAGAAAAATAGACCTTTGTGTTTAAGATAAAATGAAGAATGGGATTTAGGGCTTAAAAACCTTGTATCTTGCCATTTCGGGGCTGCTCCTTCGCAAGGACAGTCACCGGCTAATAAACTGTCTCCTGGTTAAGAGCACTCAAGTTGGGTCTGGTTATTCTGGACGCAACAGTGACATGCGGCTCCGGTCCACGGTGCAGCCAGGAAGGGACAGGTCCTTCTTCGGGCCCTGGCCGTCTTCCCTTCGATCCGTCAAGAAGCCATAACACATCCCCGCGTATCCCCTAATGACATCAGTAACCGAAAGATGAACCAGCGAGTGTTATGGAGAAAACCGGTCTCGTGGGATCCATTACCTGTGTTTTTGTTTGTTTGTTTGTTTGTTTTTTAAGTTCTGTTCCTACTATGTGCTGCGTGCCCAGATGTGAATGAGAAAAGGATTTTCTGCCCCGAATGACTACGTTACGCTTAATCAACTTACAGGCGGGAGTCAGGAAGCTTGTTACACGAGGTCGGATAAAGGGATCCATTTTTCCAGGCCTCGATTCCGTTTCTGTGCAGAGAATAACAGCAGTTGCCACATGCCGAGCTCTTCCTCGGCGCCCCCAGGGAGTTAGGTCGGAAGCTGCATCCTCACAGATGCCCACGAAGCAGGCCCTGCGGCCGATGCCTTTTACTGAGTGTCCCTCATCACACACCGGCCGACGCCCAGGCCTGAGATTTGCAGAGCACCAGACCCTTGCATCCTGCCACGTCACCTCCTGCACAGAAACCAGGGGTGACCGTGTCTGACTTACCCGTCGGCCCAGGGTCAGCGGGACTCGCAGAGGCCTCGCTCACAGCGCACGCCCAAGACGCATCAGTTCAGCGGGCACGGTGGGGCCACGTCTAACAGGACGAAGCCCGCCAGGCGACATCCGGCCAGTTTTCGTGGGACGCCTGTGTCCTCACATCTGCTGCTATACCCACCTCATCGTCTGCCTCACGCAGGTCCGTCTGTCTCGTTTGCTTCCGCGGCTCGTGTACGTTTGTAACGTGAGGGATTTGCGAGCTCAGGAGCTTGGTTTCAAACCTCGAACTCTTCAGAAGATATGTTTTCCCTTCAAATCAGATGGTGTGACTCACATCAAGGGCCGGGGTCTGGCGCAGGTGGGGTCGAGACAGAATCCTCGTGTGGAAATGTGGTCCACGATGGTGATTTCAGAATGCAGAGGGATTTATGTCTCGTATCCCATGGAGATTATGGTGCTTGGAACGGAAATTGGGGATACAGCTTACATGGCTCCGATGAGAACAGAACGCAGCAAAATTGATACAAAGCCAAGCATCCGGCTGGAGCAGTGTCTGGCAATGTCCCCCCAAATGCAGGACGTCTGCCCCGAGTGATATTACTTAATAACACCTCCCTTTAACTCGCTTTGAAATGTAAATAACTATATCTGGAAGACAGACTTCCTGTCAGGACTGTGACTTTGATCCTGTTACCATTTCTCGTAAACGAGAAATTTCCATGGACACAGAGTCACACCTCTTCACACCTTGTCTGCCACCCACACGTGTCAGGAACCGCACACCCTGCGAAGCAGAACATTCCACGTGCTTCCTTTTCCTGGCCGGACGGAATCCGTCTCGTACCGGTTTTCCACTGAAAGCCACGTAAGTGTACAGTGGTGCAGAGAAACATCTGTAACCCGCACTTCAGTGTAACGCCACCGACCTTTAGAATAATCACAGATGAGACCAGAAGACATTTCTAAAAGCGGAAGGTAGGGGTCAGCCGGAACCACAGAACAAGAATAGCCTGATAAACCTCAAGCGTCTTTTCAAAACGAAATTATTTTTCTACTTGAATAAGAAATGGTCGGAAAAGAGTCTTTTCTCTATGATGTGCACCGCCCGGGCTCTTAGCATCAATGCTGCACGATGAAGGGAGCCCGCAGGACCTCCCTCCCCGCCACCACATTGGCACAGACGGCTTAAAGCTGAATCCGGTTTCCTGCGTGAATCCTTGAAACATTTCCTCCGTGTTTTTCCCTCGACCTCCGCGTTTTCTTTGGCCGACTTGCTCTGAATGTCAACCCACCGCAAGACCCCCATAATCCTCTCTCAGAATAACTCTTCTGACCACTGCCAGGATGGGACCCCCTAACCGAGGGCGTGAAAAACGGAACGGCCTCCGGTCATTCCAGCCGCACGGATGGGGACCCCACGATGGCCTCAGTGCCTTCACAAGAGGACACACCACGGGCTTTGCTCCGTCTGCCCAAGCGCACACGCCGAAGAGGTCACGTGAGCTCACAGCGCAGGTGGCGGCCACCTACAAGCCGAGGGCAGAGGCCTGAGGATGGAACCCGCCCCTCCAGCCTCCGGAAGAGGGAGGAAATGATCATCTGTCCTTTGAGGACCCCCCCCAGTCTAGGCCACTTCTTTATGTAATGGGATGATGCACCCCATGACAGTTTTAGGAAACGCCTTTCTGCTGCGGTCATGGCATGCCTCACACAAGCGCATGGATTTTTTTTATTCTTGTACAGACAGAATAAGTCGTTTCAAGGCGGGGGCCGTGTCTGGGGTGTTAGCATACGTCACTAAGTCTTACGTACGGTATAGGTGGACTTTAAACTATTTTTCAGCTGCTGCCATTTGCCATTAGCCACGCGTGGTTTTGCGGGTGACTGTTGTGTCGCTAGCTGACATATTTAATTTCTGGCTGTTCGTTTGAAATCCAGGGGTGGTCTATGGCATCTCAAACACGGAAAGGCCCGAAGAAGGGGGTCCATTTAAAAAATAATCAGTGATTAAAGTCATGAGCTCATTCAGATCTGTTTCTCCGTTGCCAAAGGCCGGTCTCACTCTCTCTTCGGAAGAGGCTTTGTGCACGCGGACCTCTGAACGCCTGCCCACGCCCTGTCTAGATTCGTCTCCTTTCTCCTCGTTTGCCATTGCATCCCATCATTTTAAAAATGGGGAGGGGGTTATGTCTCATATCCCACTGAGAACAATATGTTTGAAGACCCGCTTCCTGGAAGAAAACTTCCAAACTCATACTGCAGGCAAAAGAGATCATTTTTCTCCTTGACAGTGGGGTGGACTCCAGTGGATGAGGCGCTAACATACCCCTTAGTCCATACTCTGCTTCTCATGCACTTTTCTGTTGATCCTACTAGTCGGCTGTTAAATTCATTGAGAGCATCGACTATGCCTTTTTCTTTCCTTGGAATCCTCATCAAACTTGTAAACAGTTTAAGATCAGTATTTTGCTGTTAATTTTTGATCCATTAACTTAATCTTGGCATACTTTGGTTCCTGGTTTGTATCAAATATCTCTGCCAAAAAATTTTTACTGAAGTATTTTGAAGCTTATGTTACAGATTGTACAGCAGAAGTAACAGAAGATCCATTCTCATTGTCTTAAATATTAAATCATTGGCCGGATCACATGAAACCATCTGTAGGTTCCTGGAGGGATTATGTAGGCCCCTGGGTCTGGTTTCTGCAGGTCTCTTGGTGTCCCTGACCTCCACGTCCCTCACTCTGGTGTCCAATGTGGCCCCTTGCCCACCAACCTACTTAAAATCAGTGTCCAAGAGTTTCCAGCTTAAAGACAGTCGTCGGCGTTGAGGGCCTCGTCTCTGAGTCAGACCGATGGCCAAGAAATAAGATGTCCTTGGCTTCCCCTGTCTGAGGCAGCTTAGTCAGCCCCTGAGGGAGAGAGCAGGATTTGCCTGATTGGTGGTTGCCATGGAAATCAGAACCTACCCCACCCTAAGCTATGTGTGATGTCAGAACGGATATGGGGGTGTCACAGTGTGGGGGATGGGAGACAAGCTCAGTGCTGGCCACAGCTGTAGAGTTAGTTACGTGAAGCAAAATGCATCGTATTAAACTTGGCATTTATAAGAAGCCAGTCAGCAATTTACGAAGTAGTAATTCATAAGTTGTAAATTCTTCAATGAAGTCAGCATGTGCCTTTAATCTTCATAGAAATCATAAAAAAGATTTTGAATGGCCTGGTTTGGGCATCTTATTATCTATTAAAATTATAAGTAGCATTTAAGAGAAATAAAAGTAAAAGTTTTGCGTGTATGTATAAAATTTCATTTTGTAGAATCTCATTTGTCTCTACCATCCAATTATTAGCTCTGCCTCTTTTTAGTTTAAAAAAAAAGTTTCCTAGTGTTTATAATGCATCTTTAACATTTTCGAATCATAGCAGACCGCTTCACATGGGATGCAGAAAAGCCAGCAGTGTACTATCCACTTGTCCTCTGCTATTTTTGTCACATTTTTTACTTTTTAAATCCATAATTTATTATCGTTTTGCTTTAAACCGTTAATCGTCTTTAGAAGAAATTAGAAAGCAAGAAAACAGAAGTCTTTTTGTATCGCCATCCTCTTCCTGTAGGATTCAGGTCTGGTTTGGTTTTGTTTTTCTGGTATCATTTCCACGGTGCCAAAGAGCTTTTATCCAATATTTCTCAGAGTGCAGGTCTGCTGCAGACGGATGCCTCAGCTTGGGGGTGTCTTTAGAAGTCGTTATTTTCCCTTCATTTTTAACGATATTTTCACCGGACGTGGAATTATACACTCACAGCTTTGTTTTGTTTATTTCTTCCTCTGCAGAACCTTCTGGCTGTTCCCGTGGGCGCGAGTGTGTACGTCTTAATTCACAGAAAGAGAAGAAGGCTGCCGAGCGGTTAGCAGATGGACCCAACTGGACTCGTTCGCTCCTGAAGATTGGATTCTCGGTGGGCTGACTCCCCGCCTTCCCACCAGCGAGGGGGCGCTCCGTTACTAGCCCAGGACGTGTGCCCTGTGAGTATTTGGAGGGGCGATGGATGTCAGGTACCCACGGGGAACTTCACTAGCTTCGAAGAAGGAAAATGTCTAGAAACTGGGCTGGCTGATTTATCACAGTAACCAAAGGGTTTTCAAAGAGCAGGTTTCCCCCGAGACATCAGTGCCTCCTTCAACTAACATGCCCTTGGCGTCGGCGTGCGAGCAGGCACTGTGTAGGCCACACTGTTTTAACGGCCCTGGGAACCCCGGAGAAGGACGTCTGCCCAGAACCCACTAGTCGAAAGGTCGACTCACTGATTTATCTACTTCTGGTGAAATACCTACTGGTGAGTGGAACAATGTTTAAGAGTTTTTCTGTGATTGACCTGGGCAAGAATCCGATTGGACTAGAATCAGCTGATAGTTATATACACTCTTAAAAATAGCATGAAATAGCATAGGCGTTATTTGTATTTGCAATGAGCGGTTTTCTTTATTTGTTTTTATTTTTAATTTATTTTTTTTATGGCGACATTGGTTCATGAAATCCAGAAAGTTTCAGGTGTACAATTCCACAGTCAGGCATATATATTGACACCGTGTGTTCACCTCCCATAGTTAGATTTCTTTCTGTCACCACATATTTGACCCCCTTTACCCCGTCTACCTCCCTCCACGCCTCCCCACCACCCTCTGGTAACCACTAGTCTATTGTCCATGTCCGTGAGTCTGTGTCCTGTTTGTTTGTCGCTATATCCCACACAGTACAATTCCACAGTCAGGCATATATATTGACACCGTGTGTTCACCTCCCATAGTTAGATTTCTTTCTGTCACCACATATTTGACCCCCTTTACCCCGTCTACCTCCCTCCACGCCTCCCCACCACCCTCTGGTAACCACTAGTCTATTGTCCATGTCCATGAGTCTCTGTCCTGTTTGTTTGTCGCTATATCCCACATGTAAGTGGTGTCACGTGGTTTTCAACTTTTTCTGTCTGGCTTATTTCACTTAGCATGATCATCTCGAGGTCCGTTCATGTCGCAAAGGGCAGTATTTCATCTCTTCTAATGGCTGAGTCATATCCCGTTGTATATATGTAAACATAGCAATGAACAGTTTTAAATTTTGCTTTTGCCCTACGTAAAACAGTGCTGCCATTTACTTTTAATTTTACAGCAAATGCTAACACTGCAGGTGAATAATATATGAAATTTATTTCAACTGTCACAAGCAAAGTCCAGGTTAATCAGAAAATCTCTGTCTCGGTTTTATGTCTGTCATCATTGCCACATGTCGTCAAGAGTGAAAGATAAAATTCTAAAAAAGTTAAAACTCAAAAGACATGGGATTAAGGAAAAGAACTGTACAGAACTATAAAACATTCTGAAGCAATGGCCAAATGCTCAGACAACGAACTGGGTATTTCTTCCAGGAAATGAAAGTGAGTTCGAAAAACACCCATCACTCCTTTCAATGCCCAATTGCCTCCAAATAATTTACTCGGAATGCAGAATGGATCACGGTTTGTTCCAAATTGGCTTTGCGGTGAACTTGAAGGCCATGCCTAAGGAAACGGCCGGTTGGCCATTGGTTATCAGTGGCCAGGGTTGCAGCCCGCACTGCAGCCTCGGGGCAGGCAGGGACTTCCAAGTACCTGAGCTCATGGCGTGTCTCCATGGCCTGAACCACGCTCTCTGCTAGAAGGTGTCACAGGCGTTCAAAGTCCCAAAAGACTGTGCAACACCCAATATCGGATTTAAGTGACTTCAACCAAGAATGCATAAAAATGGTAAAAATGAAAGCCCAGGATGACAAGCCGAGTTCACTTGGAAAACTTCATATTTTTAAGTACATACGATGGGACCTGCGAACCTATTACAGGCCATTCCCAAAAGTGTCACCGAGACAGAAAAGCACATAGAGTTTACTGCAATGATTCCCAGCTAATTTAGTGACGTGAATTGCACACCCAGCGTGTGCCAGGTGGTGGTTAATGATGTGGATAAATGAAGACACAGAAGTCATGTTTCCTGTCTGGCGAGGGAACCAGAGGCATGCCTACGATGATGCTGGTACACGTGGTCACACACGTGTTCTCTAAGCGTCATTTTATAAACGTCTTAGCAGAAGACGTGTGAGGTCGGTTGGGATCGACTGTCACAGAATGACTCTCATGAGATACGTAAAAAGAACGTATCCTTTGGATGCTGGGGCTCTGTATTAGTACACATTTTAATTCTTTTAAACTGGAACTTGCGCCTGTAGGTTTTCAGGACAGTAATGTCTTGGCTTGGTGACAAAGCTCCAGACCTCGCTGGGGCCCCCAGAGAGGCGAAGGACCACCCCCAGCCCTCTTTACTGCCGTGTCCACTCGTCTACAGCCATTTCCTGCACGTTTGTTTTTCCTTTTGGAGGAAGAGACTGCCTCTTGCAAGAGTCTCAGGTGAGGAAATGATACCCAAATACATCTCCATCTGCTTCCTGGGAAAACGCGTTCACCTGCGCAGCAGGCAGCGTGCATCATCCTGTTTGGTCTCGCTAACGCGCTCAGCTCCCTTGGCCGGGGGTCGCATGTACCTCATTCTGCATTTCTCTCCTGCCAGCGTTAAAGACATCACCTCAGAGTTTGCCTCCTCCAGGATCTGCGTCTTAATGTTTAAATGCAAACTTCGGAATTAAATAAAAAAAAAATACTTTCTAGAACACCAGTTTCTTGGAAGAAACGCTTTGCTTTCAATATCAATATTTCTGCCGTGAGCTGAAAGATGGTTGTGCTTTGCTACTCCCAGCCGTGAAGGTGACTCTGATGCTTCTAGGTGCTTCCGTGCTCATTCTCTGACGGAAGATACGCTTCAGCCCAAAGGCTGCAGAAAGTAAACATGTACCAAGACGAAAAACGCATCGGAGACTTCAAAAAAGTGAATACAGCGTCCATGCGTAGGGTTGGAAATAAGAGTGTAAATTCAGACGAGATGAGTTTGGACGTGATTCTCCAGAAAATAAGCATCCGACAGACATTTTTTACTTTATATTTGCTGCTATGGCGGTCGACTCCAGAAGCCGGCCTTACTGGAAATATTTTGGTTACTGTAACTTTATCTGCAGTTAAAAGAAGGGATTTATTGGAAATGAAATGTCAGTGAAGTATTATAGAAGTTCTAAACAAGTCTCTTGAAAGATTTTGGAATTGTCAATAGGACAAATCGAAGCTTTGTTTTGTTTTTGTTTTTAATTTACATCCTCTTTTATTAATATTTTCTTATTTGGAAAAAAAAAAAAAAACTCCCAAATCAAGGATGAAGCCTTTTTTTTCCTCTCCTCTCTGTTTTCAATTGTTGCTCAAGAAAAGTTTCATTTTTAAAAAACTCAAGCGTTTCCTAGATGTTCTTATAAACTCAAGGTAGGTAAACTGATATCATTTATCTTAATAGCATTTGACTATTCATGTCTTTTTTTTTTTTCCAAAAAGGCATTTCTTAACCCGGGTTATGAGTGATAAAAAACAGAGATGTTTTGCTAACATGGAAAGAAAAATTACACGCATCCTTGAACTCCCACCGACGGGGCTGCAGGATGTTGACCTTGAGGTCGAAGGGGCCAGGCCCTGAGCCGTCTGTTCCCTGAGCTCTCCTGCAGGAAATGCGTGTGCTGTGACTTGCAACACTCCTAGAATACCTTTGTGAGCTGAGCGATTGCATGCAGGTGTCTGATGCAGCAAACAGACCACGGGGACGCCAGCCTCTCCGGAAGTGTCCACACCAGCTGATTTAAGTCGCTCGAGATTTATGGCCCCTGCACCAAAGATGGGAACTCAGATCTTGTTGCTGCAGTGACTTGTGTAAGAGAAAAGCGAGAGGCTGTATTGTAAGCAGGTGCCACAGGGAGCACGTGCCTTGGCGTCTGGGGAGGTGTGAACAGGCGCTTAGTGGTCCCCGTTGTCCACTGTCCCATCAGGATGCTCCCAGCTGACGCGTGCCAGGAAACGGACCACAAAGAAAACTTGCAGGCATAGGAGGACAATATCCCGTCTTGGAATTTCTCAGCTGGATCCAGCTCGTTTTCGGTTATGCGATGATGGGTGTCTCTTTGTGGATATTATCTTAAGAATAAAACGTTCTCGGCTCTTCCGTTTTTCCAAAGTGTGAACACTCAAGTGAAGAATTAAACAAGCAGTTTAATTCTTGTTTCATCTTACCATTATTCATATTTTAGAGGGGAAAAAAGTTCATTCTTAACATAGAAAGAGCCGAAATGGGAAAAATAAAAGCGTCGTGGATGGAATCTCAAGTTTTTAATGAACGTAGGACAAACCGGGTTTGTGGTGTTGCTGTTGGTCATTGTAGCTCCATTGAGAATTGGGCATCTGTGCTCACGATCCCTCTTGTGTTCATCGTAAAGGTGTGAGGTAATGAATTCACTTGGCCAGCACACAGCGAGAGTGTGCTAAGGCTGTCGTGGACACACATTTAGGCTCACGATTAAAAAAAAAAAAAATGATTCCGTGACCTGTTACTTTTGAAAATCTGGCCGCACCTGTCATCACGGAACGGGAGTTTGGGCCCAGGTGGAGAGATGGCTGGTTTCGAAAGCAGTAGGTACCGTATTTTACGTAACATTGACGCACGGGCAGCGGTCGGTGTCTGAGGATGGACGGGGCGGGTGATGACGAAGATGAACTTTGCATGGGAGCGACACGCACGTCACCCAGTTTAGAGCAGTGCCTTCCCCCCGGACTCTGGCTGGAGGCTGCTCTTCATGTGACAGCGGCCGGCGAGGGGAGCCCTTCTGCGACTTTGTTTTCCACCGTGAGGGCGCCCGAGCAGGGGGACCTCAGAGGCCTGAGGAGGAGGAAGCCGCCACGCTTTACTTGGAGCCGCCTCGGCCATGCTGTCTCCACGCATTCGGCATCTGAGACCCGGGGGTCAGTGTACACAACACCCCGTGCTTCTTTCCAGGACAGAAAGAGAAGAGAACATTCTAGACCGAGTGTCATGTGTCACGGTCACCAATCACCAAGTCTCGTGACATGCGTTCTATGCATCGAGCGAGAACTACTTTAATATTTTAAAACCCATTCGGAAATACAAATAAGAAGCCTCGTGATCATTCATTTCATCTAAATGTATTTTCTGCCGATACTTTTTTCACCTGGCCCTGTGCCTTCCCCTCGAACGAGGGGAGGGAAAGTTGCATTTCCCCCACATCAAGAAAGATCGTTGGCAACAAGGAATTGGGGGTCTCAATTCCTCCAATACATCCGTCGTCTTGACACCACCTCTGATCATCAGTAATGATATTAAACTCCGAACGCTTTGAGCAAATCGTACACCCGTAATTAAATTTGGATGCTGTGTCTGGAAGCTAAGTTCGAATTATTTTTTTTTTCATATTTCGTTTGATAATGCTACTTCTGTGAACATTGGCCATAACCATGGAATAAAGCATACACATTATATTACCGTTTGCCATAGAAAAATAAGCGCATTGAAAAACATGCATTATTAAAGTTAGAGTCTGGAAAAGCATGACGGTTCCCGGCTTTTCCATTGGCCCTCGAGCTCTGCAGAAGTTTTGCATTTGCTGCGAAGAAGCTCAGGCCCCCAGACACTACGCAGACGCCCACGGCGGGATCCCACACGGCCTGAGACACCCGGATGCTCGCCGGTGCGGTCTGGCTAAGGTACGTTCCACTGCGCGTCCTGTTCTATGGCATTCTCTGTTCTTGTTCGGTGTTGGCCATCACTTCTTGTACTTTATTTCTGCTTCTCAAGAAGCTGACTTCTGTGTCGCATAGCCTCATGGGACAGCACGGATCTCTCAGAAAGGAAGATCTGCCTCTCAAGCCGATGCGTCAGACACTTTAGTCAGAATGAACTCAGAGCCAGCTCAGTGGTTGCACAGAGATGTACAATTCTTTCCATTTATTTTTCACTTATCTCCATTTTATTCCACTTTCTCTGTGATTCTTGTCACTTTTTATTTTGAAATATTTTCAAGCACACAGAAGATGTCTAAGTATAGTTTGGAATGGACCGGAAACATTTACCCAGATTTAGGATATGTTAAAAGTGTGCCATGTTTGATTTGCTGTATTCGATCGCTGTATCTATCATAGATTTTCTATCTATCTATCTATCATCTATCTACCAATCATCTATCATCTATCATCTGTCATACATTTTCTATCTAACGTATTTTTCTATTTATCCATCATCTAATATCTAATATCTATCTATATCTATCATCTAATATCTAGTATGTATCATCTAGCATATATTTTCTGTCTGTCTATCATCACCTACTCATTCCTGTGTTTTCATGTGTGCACACCCATATAACACACTTACACACACCCCTATACACAAAGTGCATTCATAATTTTCTGAGCTATTTGAAACTCAGCCGCAGCTGCCACGTTCACGTAGCCCTAGATATTCCGGTGCGCATTTGTAAAGGGTAAAGTCTGCATACACCTAGGTCCATGATCGACATTCGGCAAGTTGATGCGATGGTGCAGTACCGTTATCTGATTCACAGCTATCCTCGACCTTTGCCCTTTGTCTCTCTAATTTCCTTCTTCGTTCATTTTCCTTTTCCAGGGTCCAGCCACCATCGTGACCTGGATCGCATCGTCGTGTGTCTCTAATTTCCTTCATCTATCAGCAGCCCCTCCATCTCTCGTTGTATGTCGTGACCTCGATATTGTCATGTCGGTGCCATTATTTTGTCGAATACCCTTCGACGTGAGTTGGTCCCAGTGATTCCTAGTGATGGGACTCAGTCTGTGCATTTGGGGCAAGGATGCCACCTAAGTGACAGCGTGCACCCTCCTGTGCCTCACGGCAGGAGGCCCACGTGATCTCTTTGTGTCCTGTTACTGGGATGTTAAATTTCATCACTTGGCTACGTCGTATTTCCCTGATTTTCTCCCGCGAATTGGCTAATCTCCCCTTTGCCATCCATCCGAAATTTGCGACGTTGCTTAGAAATCAGTGCGACATTTTGGGGCTACGTTTCCATCGTCTCGTTCGTCAAACTCGGCTTGCCAGCTCCTGGCCGTTGCCACCAACGTGATGGCTGCAAGGTGGTGCTTTCCTAGCTGCATCCCTTAGTCAGCTGGAGAAGGTCTCTCCATCATTATGAACTCACGGATGACACACGTGCAAATCTTTGAAGCGAGCGAGCTCTTGCAAACGGGCGGCTGTGCACGTTTGACGCATCCCCAACAAGTGCCGGCACTCCACGACGGAACGTTCTCTTTTTCAAGAAGCTTCTGGCTCTAAACGACTATTTAGCAGTTGCACTGGATTCTGCTCCGTCCTTTGAAGTAGCACGGTGTCCGTTTAAGAGATGACAGGACAGCAGCCAGACAAAAAAGGAAAAGCCACGGTAAATCTCTCCACTGTGCACTCGTAATGGGCTCAGCTGAAAACGTTAACACCCAGATAGGTGTGTGCCGGGAAGGAGCCGCAAGACGAGGATTTCAAGCCGCCCAGTGGAACGGGAGAGAGGCAGCTCAGCAGGTGCTTTAAAACTAAGCGCTTCGCAATGAGACATTTGTAGGAGGGATTTAAGGCCTTATCTAAATTCCCATGTCCTGAACTGGGAATGAAGAAACATTTAATGAAGCTCTTTATACGATGCAGACCTGGCATTTATCATCAGAGACTTCGCTGTACAACGAATTAAAAACAGCCATTCATTAGGTAAGGTATGTGCGTGTGTGTATCTATATGTATGTATATATTTCAAATACATTTTCTGCATCGCTCGTAGTCGAATTCCAGATCAAACATGCGTGTTCTCGTCCTTCTAAGTTGACTTGGGAAAACCTATGTGTGATCGATCACGCCGGCCTCACCTCCAACGCTAGCTAATGAAGCTTTCTAAAGGGGAAAAAAAATCATTGGCCCGTCCATTTTCATTTTCCTCTCTTTAGAGACAACCCAATAAAGGTGTTCTCCATATTTAGAAGCAGGAGCGATTACTCCTTAGCTGGATTCACATTATACGTTGAACCTGCTTCTGTTAAAACATCTACCAGATTTTTTCCGTAATTATTTCTGCCGTCCTTGTTAAATAAAGAGCTCCTTGGTGACTAACGACATAAAAATATACTCGTGGTGAATTAAGATCCCTCTAAATCTCGGCTTTTCCACACACATTGTTTTAGTCTCATAAAAATGCTGTGTACTAGGTTGTATCATTTCCATCTCATGAGTAAGACAATGGGATCAAAAAAGACCAAGATCCTCGCTCGAAGTCCCTGGTCGCTTTTGGACGGGAACCAATTCTGTCAAAATTCTCCTTCGGAAACATTTCAGCGATCACCGTGGACACATACATTCATCTTAGTATTCCCGGGAACTGAGCTGATGATTTCATTATAGATTAAATTACCTTAATCCATAATTAAGGTAACCTCAACCAACACTTTGTAAATATCTAGCTAGTTATTTCCATATGCCAAGAGGTGAACATGCTGCCCGGAACAGGAAAATCACGATTCACCATATGCGAAAGAGCTGAGAGAATTTTTTTCAGAGATTGTTCACTCCAAGCGACGTCGCAATTGGCAACATTAAAAGTTATCTTCTACGCAGAATTATATCATTATCTTTAAATTGTATGCAAGCACATTCCTTGCAAGATCTTTTTACACATTTAATATATATATATATATACACACGCACATATATTATACTATATATTCATATAGTGTATATACAGCATGCATATGTGTATATATGTATTATATATTATATATACACACACACACATGCTGTTCAGAGCCCTGGGCATTATGCAAATTAAGTAAGCACCGTGATGGTTTTATTGCCTGTCACTATGGAGATGTCAAAAGTGTGAAACAGCTGGCACTATATCCAGATCTTCAATCTGAAACTTTAAATTAAGGTGAGGAAAAAGTGTGTGTATGTATAGAACATGATATGAAAAATAAACTGCCTGGTTTTATTTTTTTTTAACAATGTTACACAATTCAAACCTTACCTTGAACTGTGAGAAGTCACGTTTCGTGAGTGAGAAAGCGTATTAGTCTAGAATGTTTTAAAAGAGACTCCCCTGAGGCTTTCCGTAAGCTCAGCCTAGAAACCACATGCTAATGATGGCGGAGCCAGGGCGTGCGGAGTCCATTTGAGAATATTCTCA